TTAAAGAAGATATTCTCCCCCGAATGCTTTTAGGCATTGCAAGTTTTTTTGTTTTCCCTTGAAATAAGGGCTGTGCATATATGAATAATTATATTGCAAGGAAAACAGCGTGATTGAAGAGGGACCATAGCGTTTCTGTTCTATAACCATAGAGAAGATTTCACCCCGTAAATACTATCAGCGTTAATATCTTCCTAGTAGAGGATTGTCATAGGTACGGTGATAGCCAGAGACACTGAAGCGGACACCTTAAAACGTAACGTCAAATCAAATGGCCTTATATCAAGCAGCTAGATCTCTTCTAACGTTTTAAAAGCCCCTTTTCTAATCTGCTTTTAGGTATTTAAAATCGTTGTTGCTAATCATGCTATGGAATGTCTGTGTTGTTAAAACTGCTTGCTGAATTCCTCCGGACTTTTGTAACATCAAACTTCTCGTTGTAGTGTTGCCTAGCATATTGTTGTGAGTACTGTTCATAAGTTCTCTTTCTGTTGTTTATTATTATTATTTTTTGTTGTTGTTGTTGTTTCGGGTTCTTTTCTGTTTCTCTCCCCGCTTGGTTTGGGTTTGTGCCCGAGTTGGTGTCTTGGGTACATGTTTGTGTGGTTTAACCTGTTCTGATGATGAGATGATGAAATGATGACGCCTGACACTTTCCTTAGGTTAGTGCTTGGGCTGTATTGATCTGTTCTTGGGCACATCTCCACTTCGGATTCTCAATTAGATGTTTTTAATTGGCAAACATAAGCCCTTTGATATCCACTGGGTGTCGTTCAGAAATGTAGAGGAACTTTTTTTCCCTGCTGGAAATGTTCAAATGTTAGCATATACACCAACAGTTTCTGCCATTAATATGATCTGCTACTTAGTATTTAATATCACATTTAAATAAAGTGACCAAAAGGATGTTACATTCAGGTCTTGCTTGTGGGTTGTCATTTTTTTTGCTGCGATGTGCAATTTCTGCACTACCTGGGCACAATAAATTAGCAAAAGACTCTATTTCCAGCGGCCCCCAGTTAATTTGAGTTTGAGACCCCTGAGCTAGTTTAAGGCATAAAGAACGTTGTCATTTGGCTGATCAAAGATGAATTTGAAGGGATAAAATTAGCTACAGATGGACATTTATTTGAGAATTTTATAATATTTTTACATTTATATTAGATTTTAATATTGAATTTCTGTTCCATCTGCAATCCGCCACATCGACCGCTCCAGACAAGTCGAACGTATCCGCCATCTTGGAACAGTCAACATGAGACTGTTCTTCACTCACACTAAAAAAAAAAACCAATAAATTTTCAGTGTGAATATATCTATATTGTGCAGCCTATTAGGCCTGTTCACACCGGAACGAATTTCGATGTTTTTGCATGTTCAATTGGCTCATCGTCAGCGAAAATCGCTTGGGTGTGAACACGAATAACGCGCGCTGATATTCGTCCCGGTGTGTACAGGGCTTATGGCTGTAAAAACCACCGAGCTGATGAACTAGGATAACCTCTCAGAGGTGAAAATGTCCTGGTTTGAGTTTCTATTACTCAATATGCAATATCCATATTCATAATCATCACATTAATGATAAACTAAATGCTGTGGAAACCATCTCATTATCTATCTATACAGATATTCATACATAATATATGTGGGTTGCAAATCCTCTGTCAACTTGCTCTTGAGTGTCACAGATTGGATTTGACTGTCCCAATATGGCGGACAGCTAGCGTATAGCAGCCCATATTTTAGTGATCAAAGATGAATTTTAAAGGATAAAATTAGCTACAGGTGGACAACGTTTATATGAGAATTTATATTAGATTTTAATCTTGAATTTCTGCAAATGAGAATTTTTGAGAAAATTCCCATTTGTTCCATCTGCAATCCGCCACATCGACCGCTCCAGACACGTCGAACGTATCCGCCATCTTGGAACAGTCAACATGAGACTGTTCTTCACTCACACTAAAAAAACAATACAATTTCAGTGTAAATATCTCTACATTGATGGCCTAATGCTGTAAAAACCACTGAGCTGATGAACTAGGATAACCTCTCAGAGGTGAAAATGTGCTGGTTTGGGTTTTTATGGATTACTCAATATCCATATTCAGAATCATCGCATTAATGATAAACTAAATGCTGTGGAAACCATCTCATTGTCTTATCTATACATGTACATATATGTGGGTTGCAAATCCTCAGTCAACTTGCTCTTGAGTGTCACAGATTGGATTTGACTGTCCCAATATGGTGGACAGTTAACCTATAGCAGCCCATAGTGTGTGTGTGTGTGTGTGTGTGTGTGTGTGTGTGTGTGTGTGTGTGTATTAACAGCTGTCACTGGATTGACTGCAAAATTGGGTGCTTGAGTGGTAATAATGAACACACGCGCACAGTATTTGCCATCTTGAATTTTAGAGATTGGTTTTAAGGGTTTCAACACACCTGATCAAGCTAATGGAGGCCTTGGGGTTTACTAGAAAGATACAGGCAGGTGTGTTTGAAGAGCCCTGCACACCCGTCCCATGACTGCAGCGATGCAGTTGACAGTTAAATCTCGTCTGTAAACCGATGAGAACGTACTGAACGTCCATGAGCACAATAGCACATTTCAGATGTGCTTTCTCCAGACAGCTGTTTTCACACCCTGAGAAGCCTTCGCCTCTCGTACACCCCAATCTACCCCTTCAGTCTTTCATCTGCTGTGTCTTTTCTACTTATTTTCATTTCTTTAGCAGCCAGGGTTTTTTTTTTTTTCTTCTCCCCCCTCTTTTCCATTCGCCCCCTCTCCCTCCCGAGGGGAGCTTGCATTCACAGCTTGCAGAAAGCTGCCAAAAGGGAAACATTACAACTATTGCAGATGTTGAAATGTTGATCCCATCCTTGGTATGCCCAGATTACCACTCGGCTAGTTTTGCAGCGCCACGCGGGCAGCTGTTCCCTCATCTGTCCCCCAATGTGAAAACCTCCTTCCGTTCACATGAATATGCAGCATACACTTCGTATCTGAAAGTATTAGAGCGCGTTGGCAGCGAGGCCAACAATTGATCATCTGAACGGAGCCGAGCCAAGGATGTTGTCAGGCGTCTGTGATGGGTGGGGTTGTGAATGTTTGTAAATCTGGATTGTTCCGTCCAAATTGTTCATTTCTGATTATTATAAGGGTCGTCTGAAACCCTATAGACTGAGTCCATTCAGGGCAACACCAAATCTTCATGGGAGTTTTGTGTTGCTGTGATTTACAAAGCGTCGGATTAATAAGCAATAGTTCTAGGTACGTTATCATTAATATTGCAGGTTTGACGGCCACCGATGCAACACATTCTCTTGTATTGTTTCGCTTTCTGCAGGGCGTTGATTTATGCCTCTACAGACTGCTTGGGGAAAACTTTCCCACAGCTTCCCTGAGCCAAGAGCTGTCTTTTTACATCATCAGCTAACATCCACGTCTCTGGAGAACTGGATTATTCTGTGAATGTTGCTGTGATGTTCTGGAATTTACGCTGTGCTAGATAAACAACATTGATCGACTCCCGCTCGTGTGCTGAACACCCCTGACATGAAGATTTTCTGAAAGAAGAAATCAAATGTGTTGTACTTTGAAGACAACGTGAAATCAGAAGACACTCTACCTACAGTACTTGACAACATGTTTGTCTTTGTAATCTTTCAGCGAAACATAACTTGCTCCTCCTCTGGTGAAATGCCACACACAGTTTTACTAGCAAAATAGATGACATAATAGATAGAAGTACAATAGTTTGTGAATGCCGTAAATAACTAGTGATCTATGCTTAAAGGGGTAGTTCACTTTTAAAAAAAAACTTGCTGATCATTTACTCACCCCCATGTCATCCAAGATGTCCATGTCTTTCTTTCTTCAGTCGAAGAGAAATTAAGGTTTTAGATGAAAACATTCCAGGATTTATTTCCATATAATGGACTTCATTGGGAACCAAACGGTTCAAGGTCCAAATGAGAGTTTCAGTGCAAACTGTTCAAAGGGCTTTAAACGATTCCAGACGATGAATAAGGGTCTTATCAAGCGAAACGATCGCTCGTTTCAAAAATAAATAAAAAAGTTTAAATTTTATCATAGACATATACACTAGACCTCACCTTGGGGTTCTAAGCATGCGTCAAAACCGCCGCCATCTTGGAACAGGGGTCTTGTCATAGGAAGTAGCTAGGTAACGCTGCTATCTCTGCCTTTACTTCGAATTCATTGATGGTGGCGGACTTTTGTGCAGAGTATGATGTTCACGGATGAAATCTGATCTAGGAAGTTTTTTAAAGTTTTTTCTAGTTTAAAAAAAAAAAAATTCTTTCTGGAATCAATGATAAATACATGTCTGACCGTTGGAACAAACCACAAAAACAAGAAAAATCGCATTCATGATTTATGGTGATTTTATTTCCGTTAGACCTGTGTCTGATGCATTAAAGTGGAGGGGCTCCCCTGTTTCAAGATGGCGGCTCGATTGACGCATTCGTTCCAATGAACTGCCGTAGCCAAGGTGACGTCTAGTGTATATGTCTATGAAGTTTTATAAGCACAAATGCTCGCCTTGCTCTTTTCTGTGATGAGCGTTCGTGACTCTCCTGTTCGAACTCGTTCATAAAAATGAACAAATCTTTTTTCGAGTCATGACTCGAAGGGTCCTAGATAAGACCCTTATTCATCGTCTGGTGTCGTTTAAAGCCCTTTGAACAGTTTGCACTGAAATACTCATTTGGACCTTGAACCATTTGGTTCCCATTGAAGTCCATTATATGGAGAAAATCCTGGAATGTTTTCATCAAAAACCTTAATTTCTTTTCGACTGAAGAAAGAAAGACGTGGACATCTTGGATGACATGGGGGTGAGATTTTTTTTTAAAAGTGAACTACTCCTTTAACTGAAGCTAAACTATCATAGAAGTCAAACTCAATCAGCTCAGTGTTTCTCAGAGTTTAATTGGTACAGAGAATCCTTGCAAATATGGTCAATGACAATAAACAATAGCAGGACAATTTTATTGTCAGTCATTCAGATCAAATGGTTTAGCCCTTCTGTATATTTCAGTAGAATCTACAGTTCCAATAACTTCAAGTTCATTACAAAATAGAGCCTTTGAAATAAATAAATAGATTTATATATAGATTTATAATTATACTTTATATGTTGAAAATAAATATATTGTACATCTTATAAATAGGTTTGTCCATATTTACATGTCTTTCACTTACATTTTAGTAATGTTCCTGACAACCTGAACATTATAAGTCACTCTTTGTCAAATGACCAAAGCCTCTACCGAACCCTTCAGGAAGCGCCATACGTTTTCTCCGTTTGCTTTGAAAGTGGTTAGTTGTGTTTGCTGTTTCTACAAAATTTGTAAGGTTTGACCTCTCCCGAACCTTCAAAAGCGGTAAATGTAAGCCCCTTTTTTCCAATTATTATAAAGCCTTAATAGTTTTTTTCCACAATCTTACAATTCGTTCAAAATTGATATCGTTTCAGTAGAAGCTGGTCATTGTTCTTCAAAGCGTCTTTCTCTTCTTAAGTGCCCTGAAAGCTATATTTAATTTGAAAAGCTCTTGCTTTGCATTCGTCCTACGGGGAAGTCGGGGTAACTCCCCGTGTCCGTCCATCTTGCTAAGTGCTGCGTCATGACCTTTCAACGTGAGATCCGCCCCAGAGTTTATCTTTACAGTCACAGGTGGTTTGACTTCCTATGCTCAGTTGCTCAATACATTTAGTTGTAGACCATAGTTTTTTTCCAGTGAGAAAATGGCCAAAACGTGGTTCACTTTACAAAAAGCGTGGCTCGCACAATGACTGCAGAAAGGTCGATTGTATGACACATGTGATGAGGCCCTGAAGTCAACACCTCTTCCTCAAGACATCTTTTGGCTCCAGCTTTTGATGCAGGAATGTTCCCTCTTCTCTGTGGTTTAAAACCCATTAAGAAGAGGAAACGGAGCCATCCAGGACACACACGTACTGTTTATCTCAATCACCATTGGAGAGGGCCTCCTCATTTTGGACCAGAACCCAAATATAAACAGCTGTGAGGCGAGAGAAGTAGGGTCTTGTATTTCTAAATGTTCTACAGAATCCGTCTTTCCCATCAAGCAACTCTACTACACCTCTCCAACACAGCGACTCCGATGGATGCTTTGGTCACCTGTGCTGGAACAAGTCTCTGTACGCTTGGGGTATCTTCTCGATTTCAACAGGTCTGGGCAGGAAGTGAGTCAACTTCTGATGCTTTTTAGTCCTGCCGCCTTCTCGGGGCGAGCCGTCCTTGTTCAGAGCCACGTAATAGTATCTCCCAGTGTCCGCGTGCTTGTAGAGTGTAGACGCATAGGTGTTGTACCAGTTCTCCTCGAATTGCTCACGGAACACACACTCTGCCATCAGCTTCTTCTGCAAGGCAGACGGAAAGAGACAAAAACATTGTTTCGGTTATCTGGATATGGTCAGTTGCAGTAGCATTAAGTGTTGTCTAAGTACCGACTTCGGTGCCAGGTCAGTATTGAAATTTTAAACAGGTGATGAAGTGAGAAATCAAATTTTCCTTGAGCTTTTGATATCTTATGCTACATTCACACCGGACGCGAATCGCGCGTCAAATTCGCGCCTGACGCGTCTAGTTTGACGCTTGGCCACTTTGTGTTAATTTGCGTGTCAAGAGTGAAACTGGCGCGCGTAAAAACAAAAGTTTGAAGCGAAATTTACGCGCGTCAGAATCGAAATCCGTTGGCAGCCATTAATTGTTTTTATGTCGACCGAGCATTCATCAAGAGAGTTACCGCTCTGTATTTACTCTGGAGAGCAGAACAGCGGCGTGGGGATCATCGTCGCCGTATATTTGTGTCCACCGGACCCTTCAGAGCCGAACCGTTTGGCGAGTTTCAGCATTTGCTCGCTCCAGGAGCTGCGCTGGATGACGGCCGCTGTCAGCGGTACTTCCGCCTGTCCCACGCCCAGTTTGATGACATGTTGTCCCGCAACGGAGCGAGGATCACCCTCGCCCTCATCCATCTAATCTAGCTGTCATTTATTTTTTGTTTTGATGATAAATAGAGCCAGCCTTCAAAAGTTATTAACCTGTCCTGTGATTTTTTTTCTCTCTCTCACGTCCAGACACGAATTTATGCACATATGTTGATTGTCTTTACATAAAACAATTTCATATAATCTAGCTATGGAATGAATAACAATTAATACAAAATGAACATGTCTCGTATATAGAAATAATGTTTTAAGTGATAAAACATTTGCTTTGTTGTGCATAATCCCACCATGCATTTAGTCATATTAACAAAATAATTTATTGAAGCATCCAGATACTTCACCACGTGAGCAAGCAGCTAGGCTCCTGATTGGTTAACGCGGCGCGAATTCACGCCAAAGTTCAGATTTTTCAACTCGGGCGGCAGACGCGAATTCGCGTCAAACGCGTGAATGCACAAATGGCACTAACTGAATCATTCGCGCGTAACGCGCCAGACGCTCAATTCGCGCGAACGAGGCGTATTCGCGTCTTCCGCGCCTCGCTCCACGCCTCATTCGCGCCGCAGGAATTTTTCTCGCGCGTAAAACGTCTTTGCATTGACTTAACATTGAAATCATTCGCGCCTGACGCGCTATTCGCGCCCGGTGTGAACGTAGCATAAGAGGTCATCATCATATTATTATTATAAGAAAATCATAAGTTTCAGAACTGAAAACGTCCTTGTTAGTCCAATAAAAGCTTTTATTGTCTCTAGCCTCTGCAAACGAATCGTTTTTCAAAGTGGGGAACTATAATGTCAAAGAGGATAAAACCCCACCCCCGCAGAAGAAGATCAACGCCTACTTCAACACGGCCGGTTAAGCCCCGCCCACCGATTCGTGCATTACACGCATAGCTAAATAACATAGGCCTACCTCGTCATGACAAACCGGGTCGACAGTGAAACTCATTATAATATGCAAAACTGTTATCCACTCACAGCAGTGGGCGTTAACTTCCAAGTCTTCAATGCGAGACGCCCATAAAAACAGAGCGTTTTTGAGCTAGGCTCAAAACTAGGGTAAAAAATAGCTTATTACTTATACATTTTGATGTTTTTTAATGTTAAAAACCAAGCGAACGTCATAAGTTGACCTCAGACAACAATATAAAAAAAATTAAAAAGCCAGTTCATGACCCCTTTAAAATTGTGACGCTTTGAACGGAATCGTCAACACCTCTGATTGGCCGTTGTGTTCACGCGCTCATCGGATTTGTCTGTGATTGGCTACAATGATCAACGCACGGAAGTGTTTTGAAAGCGGGAGCACCGGTCCACTGATACACGCCTGCTTTCAAACGCGCAAGCGCTCGGTGAAGAGCGTCATTGATGTGTATTCACGACATGTTTTTGAAGCGCTAATCATTGCAGCCAATCACCGACAAATCCGATGAGCACCTGAACACAATGGCCAATCAGAGGTGTTTATGATTTCGCTCAACAGCGCTCAAAGCGTCAATTTTTTAATTTCAGTACCGATTTGGTACCGAAGTAGGTACTTTTTGCCAACTCTCGTAGCATTATTGAAAAGATCCATGTTAAACAAGCTTTGCCTAAAATGGTGGTGTCCAGTCCTGAAGGGCCACCTGGCTACAGAGTTTAGCTTCAACCCCAATTAAACACACCTCAACCAACTAATCAAGACCTTCAGGATTACTAGAAACTGTCAGGCAGCAAGTTGAAGCTAAACACTGCAGGAAGGATGGCTTCTTCAAGGAGCAGGATTAGACACCCCTGAGCAATGAAACTTTTAGAGACAATGTGAAATTAAGTGTAAAATTGTTCTGTCCTGACCCAATCATAAATATTCTAGAAATCTAGCTGGAAATCTTTGCTCTGTCCATCAAGAGTCCAGTCTAAGTGCATTTGACCACATGTTTAAGAACTAAAATGCGCCTCCCATTTCCAAACCTCCAGATGCGCTGGAAAGCATGAGGGTGTGAAGACGTGGTACTGTTTCTTTCTCACAGTGCACAGTTTACCCTTGTCACCATCGCAAAATGTGTGGAGTGGAAACTATCTTGAGACCAGACGGCAGGTGCTCGCTGCACCAGAGGAGGGAAAGTCATTATGGGCAAGCGTTGCCGTTTACACCCAAAATCATTCTTCAAAACTGCTAACCTTTTTGTCTGCTTCCCCCATGATGCAACAAGCTCTCTCGCACAAACACGGCAGCTTGAGAGAGTCTGTGTGGGCTGCTACTACTGCACCACTGACAGAACTCCATGAGCAATGACTTCGGGTTAAGCAGGTGAACATTTGCTGGCTGACTACACGGCCGAGAACAATAGAAGACACTGGGGCTACATCATGTTTCCTGCCAAAGAACAGTCATGCAATGGGCCAGGTTCAAGTCTTGGTGTCGAGACAATACATTTAAAATTAGTTTTTAAGATAAAGTCAACTTTAAAAGTTCTGTTAAATCGTTTAAACGGTTGGCCGTGTGAACTTTTTTCAAAGGTAAAAATACAAATAATGACTGTACGGCTGCTTAATTTTAGAAGTAAAGCCATTTGGAGTAAATAATGCTCCATACATGGGATTCACCTTTAGATTCAGGAAAGAATTTCCTGATAATTTACTCACCCCCATGTCATCCAAGATGTTCATGTCTTTCTTTCTTTAGTCAAAAACCAATCAAGGTTTTTGAGGAAAACATTCCAGGATTTTTCTCCATATAAGCCCCTTTTCCACCAAAGCATTGCCTGCGTGCGAACCAGTTCTTTGTGTTTCTACAGCCAAAGAACCGGTTCTCGGCCAGGAGAACTGGTTCCAAAGCGGCACCAACTCTTTGCTGGACTAGAACCGTTCTTTTACCACGTCATGCTTACGTCGGGTTCTGGGGCGGGTTTAGATGTGTTCTAAACATCTTTTCTGACCATAATAAAGGATCGCAAAGCCAAGAGAAACATTTGCAGAAACACGATGGAGTCCGCCTTTGTAATTGTTATGCTTGAAGTTAACGCAAGCGTTTCTATTTTTGTAATTTTTTTATTGAAGACATTATAAGCAAAGAAGAAAACAGTCACAAACAAATAAGTGGAAAGAAAAAAAGACACAAGACAGGGGTACATAACTTATCAGAAAAAAATCCATATCAAACGAAAAGATTAAAAGACTTACATATTTCAATTGTACTTGCAAGCGTTTCTAGCTAAGACGTATGGCGACGTACACAGTGACGTAACAACGTCGTTCCCTGGGCGCTCTAGTCAGTGGAAAAACAAACAGGTTCTGAAGCGGTTTGCGAGTTGTACCAACTCCAAACCAACTTTGAACCGGCACCAGTCCCGAACCGGTACTTTTTTTGGTGGAAAAGGGGTAACAGTAACTTTTAACGGGTTAAAAGTCCAAATGTCAGTTTTAGTGCCGATTTAAAGTCTCGACACAATCCAAGCTGAGGAATAAGAGTCTTATCTAGCCAAACCATCAGTCGGACCTTCAACCTGTTGGTTCCCGTTGAAGTCCACTGTTTTCCTCACAAACCTTGATTTCTTTTCAACTGAAGAAAGAAAGACATTGAACATCTTGGATGACAGGACATAATCAGGAAATGTAACTTCTGAAGCGAACTACTCCTTTTCTAACTGTCTCCTTGATCACACTGCAACACGACCTGCATTAAAAATCTGCACAGCAAACCTAGGGCCGAGTCTTCAGGTGATTTGCAGTGCGATTGCATGCTGACATTCATTTACAGTCCGATTTAATGGGATGTTATCGCGTTACACGTGAAGTCATCTCGTCTTGCTTTAAATAGGTTTGTTTTAACTCAGGGTCCACAGAAACTGACTGGGGCCCCCGCTTATTGTCTCTGGAAATCTGATAGCTTGTTTCTCCCGCATGCATGGCAAAGTCTGCGGAGGGGGAGGCCAGGCGCATTTTCCTATATATGGTTCTCTATGCTAGCATGCAAAAAGTCAGTCAAATCCCGCTACATGCCTTTATCTCCTGGTCTCCGTTTCAATCAGCACTCCAGCAGAGAAAAGCGCGGTCCTCGCGCAACACGCAAGAGACCGAGAGCTCTCAGCTCGTATATCCACGATATGTGGGTGTGTATACGTTACGCGCTTCATGTGTTCCTGGAAAATATGTAAATATTTTAAGTATGGAGCGAAATGAAGAGGCAGTTTTTCTTCTCTGAGATTGAACGCTCTGGCCGAGAGCTTGTTCTTATGTGGAAAAAACAAGGTGAGCCACACGGGCTACAGACCTCGATCAGAGGTCAGTGGAAACACTGCTTGTTTTGTCTGGTTAAGTGTTTTTTTTTTTTTTTATTGTACGTCTACATCATATGGGGAACAGACTATGAGCCGGTGGGTGGGTTGTCGTTCGCTCCTCATTCCAGCTTCGACTGCATTCCTATTGAAACACTTCATAGAGCAGAACCTTCTGTTGGTGGATGTTGTTTGGAGTGTGTGTGTGAGCACTACAGGGGTTTGACTTACCGACCCATAGAGTTCACCTTTCTCATTCATCCCCAGATAAAGACCAGCATCCACGCCTCGTATGCTCACCAGCCCGACGGCCAGACTGATAAACTCCAGAATACCTGCCAGACAACAACACTCGTCAGACATTGACCAGACACCCTTACGACTGTACGTCAACGGCGCTGTATACGCGAGAGTCTTTAAGTTAGATGTTTCAGAGGGCTTTTTCCCCAACTTAAACCAAGGTAAGTTGCCAAGCTGGTGGTTAGCTGGTTAGCCAACTGGTCTCTCGGTCTGACGAGCTGACAAATGTCCAAAACCACCGAAGCTCACCAACCAACCAATGCTATGACGTTTGATTGGATTATGTTTTTGCTTGTATTGTTTTCCATCAAGAATAACTGATGTTTAAACTCACCTCTACTTTGAGAGTTTTTGGTTTTTTAAAAGATCACCTCAAAAGTAAGCTTTCAGCAGACTACTGTCTAAAAAATGTGGCACCATCTAAAAATAACCTAAAGGACAGGAAATTAAAGTCTTGTTGCGAACATGTGCACAACACAAAAGTCAAAAGTCTCTGCTTGAATCTGAGTAACGCTGACTTATTGAAGTTATCTGCATCCACGGTGCCTTCGTGTCAATTTTCAGGATATGAGCCCAATCTCGGCCCAAACCAGCTGTTCACACGCTCTTGATTAAAGACTAAAGCAAAAACTACACCTTTGTGGCCTTTTACCACCACCTGGACCGAGTATGTTGTGATTTGGATGCCAAACGACGACACAGAAAGCTTCTCTGAAGCTGGGTTAAGCAGAAGCACATTTCATATGCGTTTAATCAAAGACGCTGCCAGCTTGCAACATTACCGACAAACGGCTCGCGTTTGCCAGAAGGATGCCAGAAACATGACCACGGACCACCCAATCCAGTGAAGCAGCTTGTCTCAGCCTAAAAACAAGCATTACCGCTGGATTCCACAGTGGTCATGCTTTAATTTCGAGCTATTCCCGTTTTCGAAGCGAGGCCTGCACCTGCACCATGATTACGGATCACAGCAATGCAAAAAATCCTCGTGCCTGGGCTCTGCTATCATTTGTTTATCATTGTAGTACCGAGAACTCCTTGACTGATTTATTAGTGCTGTAATTAGTAGTGTCTGTGCCTGCGTCGGCCGGGGTCCTTTGAACACGTTTTCGGAGAAAAACAGCCTCATGCTGTGAGCTTGTTTTCCACTGCAGAGGAGCACCTGCGTCCCTTGACCCTGCGCCGGAGTTCGCCGAGGGCAATTCCAGTGTACGACTGAGATATGCTGCTCTCATCTACAGGCGGATTGACATACAGCGGTCCCAAAACAATCTGCTCTCAAAAGTCCTTTTGCAATCTTTTTAGTGGTTTCACTATCACATTTCCATCTCAATTTTTGACACTTTATCTTGTATCTAACAAACCTCTTCTGCTTTTAATGATTCATGTTAAAAGGTTGATTGTGCTATATGTCTTTACTATAAATGACCCTTGGTTGTTTTGTTGTGTAATGCTCCTATACATTAACTGTTCAAGCACTTTTAGGGCACACTGGGTGTAGATTCTGACATGGGACGCGTGAATTTATCAATATTGTAAAGAAACTTTCCTTCTTGTACTCCCTGACTGCAGATCTACAGCTTCACTTGAAATCTACTCATGATCTGCTAAATTTAACGTTTCAAAATGTTTGTTTTTAACTTCATAGTTAAGAAACAGTTCGTTTTAGGATTTCTCCTGAGGTGGACTTTCCCTTTCCTTCACAACGACTGACAGCATTTGATTGACTGATTGGCTGATTATTCGCTCACTGAATCAGGAGGGACATTTTTGGACGTTAAACAGGTGCAGTTTTGTCAGGTCTTTAATAATGCATTTTATGAGTGTAATCCAAGTTTAATTGTTATGATATTGTCATTTTTGTGAACATTTTTGTGTATACCTACTTAACAATATGTTGCCCATGTATACCCAGAAGTGAGCCAAACCTGACAATCTCTCAAAACCACAATTGTAAAAACAAAGTAAATACAGTTTTTTTTATTGTAAAAATGCATAAAGTTTTCAGATAGGGTTAGATTATAGTATTTATAACTATAGCTGTGTGTATATATATATATATATATATATATATATATATATATATATATATATGAAGAGTTCAGATGTAAAAGCCTCTAAGTGCCATTTGAAATTTTCTTCTAGAATGATAATTTTTATCAAGCTTGTATATTTAATTTCAGTGATTTCACTTAAATGGCAATGATAATTACCTATTAATTGTTATTTAAGTGAAATTACTGAACTTAAATATACAAGTTTGATAAAAATCATCATTAAAGAAGAAAATTTCAAATGGCACTTAGAGGCTTTTACATCTGAACTCTTCATATATATATATAAGCAGAAGTCTGTGTGTGTAAATATCAGCATTATTACACTGTAAAAAATATTTTCAAGATTTGTTATCACAACATATTTTCTTTTGTCAAATCAACTTAAATAATTTATTTAGTTCAGATAACATATAATTTTGAGTTTCTGATGATTAAATCATTCTCCTTCATTGTATTAACTCACTTTTTCCAGTTCAATGAACTTAAAATTTTAAGGCAAGGTTACTTACTTTTTTAAGTTAAACCAACAATATTTTTTTTACAGTGTATTTTTTCCTTAATAAACAGATTAAAGTGCCCTGATCTTGTAGAAAGTCTTGTCTTGCTACATATAAACTCCTTGTTAAGTGTCAAACGGCACATCCCATCCGAAACAGTAAGTAAGGTTTATTAATTTAGCTTGAAATGGCAAAATGCAATTTATACATTAAAAAAAAACGTTATAAGACAGAACGTTTTAATCCTCCAGGACTCTCCCTAAAATCGGACAAGGCAGCAGTTTCCCAGAGAGACTTTTAAACACACACCTATGATGCCCCAAACCACGGCTGACTGACGAGGAACGGATGAAAGGGTGGATGGAGTTCTCACCGAATCTGCTGTGGTCCTGTCTGGTTCCGTGCACCGTCCCGTTGGGGAATATCTCCAGCTGGAAGCCGGTGCGGCAGTAGAGCTGTCTCCTGCGCAGGATGCCCTTCAGGTGGCCAAAATCCGTCAGCGATCCGCGCTGCAGTCTGCCCTCAATCAGACCCAACCTCTCATTCAAACCATCCGACAGAGGCACGTTCCCCAATGCTGGAAAAGCCTGCAAATCCAGATCGATGCTCCCGAGAAATCCAGCCACCTCTGCCATGACGAGGAAACTTTAGTGTGTTTAGAGAGCGGAGAGGAGAGAGACGCTCTTTTCATCTGTGATCAGACTGAACGAGTCATTTATATAGACATCCATATCCTCCCCGAGCCACGCCTGGATGACATCCCTGCTGCTTCACCTTCAGCATGTCAACGGAGAGCTTCTGCTGAGACTCTCACAACTGATGCTGGCTGTCTGTCGGAGCGCACGCGTGTCTGGAGTCCGTCCGTGCGTGCGCGTAAAGTAACTCCCAGCCCGCAGAAAGTCCTGAAGAGAGGATCAGTGACTAAATATCAAACCCTCTCAGCGCGAGAAGCTCTGACACAGTCTCTCTCTCTCTCTCTCTCTCTCAGTGTGTTTTATGGGTCTAATCGCAGTGACTGGAGTCTGACAGAGGATCGGTCTCTTTCACTAGAGGAGTTCAGGCTGCGTCTCAAACTCTCATCTGCTGCCTCTCTCTTTCTCTCTAGATTGCAGTTCTGGGCATCACAGGCACTTGCAGAAACTTGTTGCTTGGTGAAATGCGCACCTAGACATTATTTTGGGTATCACAGGTGCGTGCAGCAACCTGTAGCCTAACAGTGAGCTGCCTACCTGAGTGTCTGCAACAAATGACAACAGATTGGGGCATCATAACAAAACTAGTGAACTGCCTACATAGACAAAATAATTGAATATTAGGCCTAACATTTCTTACAACCCGGCATTTCATTTGTTTTAGCATTACACATTTAGCATTATATATATATATATATATATATATATATATATATATATATATACATACCTCATTTAATTTATTAGATTTGATACATTTTTTTAAATGCATAATAAAGTCGTCAAGTCACCTTTATTTATATAGCGCTTTTTACAATACAGATTTTTTTCAAAGCAGCTTTGATAACAGGAAAATAATGTTGTAATGATATTGTATATAGAAAGTACACCTTGATTTTTATTTAATAAAAATTTTTTGTTGGTGTACAACAATATTTATGGCATTTAAAGAATTTTCTGAAAGCTGTATCAACACCTGAACTGCCTACCTAAATATCATTTTGGCATCACATTTGCGTGTATTATTTTTGGACCTTAGATGCATATATTGGGTCCGCAAAATTTTGGGGGGTGATGCAAAAAAATGCCGCATGTCTGTGATTCCTAACGAGTAAACTAGCTAAATTTTTATGTTTCTTCATGCAACTGATGCCAAAAAAAAGCTGTCTTGCCATTGACACACAGCCTCAGACTGAGGTTTTCATAGATTTCATTTCTCCACCTTCCTTGTGTAAGCAGGTGTTTCCTCCTCCTCTCCATACCAGCTGCTGGATATCTACTGCAGAAATTAAAGGAGCAAAGAAATAGAAAAGTTTGATGACGTATTTTATTAAAGCTGAGCGGTACAGGGAATGCACGGCAGGCGGAATTTCATAAAATGTGAAATGTATGCGTCACATGAAATAGCAATGAGAAGTTCACCAGATGACCACAAACTTCATACGGGTTCTTATAGGAAATGATGATGCGTGCTGAGTGCTGCCAGCAAATGTGCACCTCACAAATCTATAAAACATCTCTATGTGTCCAACACACTCATAAAGATAGGGCTTGTCAAATATGTGCTCTCTGTTTCATGTCTGAAAGTAGTTAAAGGTCAGTGTTGACCCTATATGGTGTTTCCTTGTTTATACAATAGCTACGCTACGCTACGCAAAAGCCGATCACACTAAATGCGTCTTTTGTGTATTGTCGTGTAATTTATAGGCTACGCTTTTGCATAGGATACAAGGGTTGGTTAGAGTAGGTTTAGTAGAGGTGTGGGGTGCGTGTGTATTATACGTTTGGTTAGAATTAGAGGTGTGGGGTACGTGTGTGTTACACGCAAATGAACTGCGTATCATGCACGCTAAAACTGCGTCTCCTATGCACGTAAAAACTCATGTCTTTTATTTTATTAATTTACTACGGTGGCCGAGAGAGTTCACCGCCCTGCAACCTGATGAAGACGAATGCAAATAGAAAAAAACGTGTGCAACTATAAAAACGCGTGCAAATACAAAAAAACATCCGCAAATTAAGAAAATCATCTTCATCAGTTCCACAACACACGTGTGCTCCAAATACTCACAACACAACCAAACATGGGCGTAGTATTGGGGGGAAAGGTGGACCTGACTACCCAGGGCCCCGTCTAGGGAGAGGGCCCTTTGAAATCCCATCAAAAAAAAAAAAAAAAATTAACCTAATTAGAATTAGTTGGGCCCCCCCAATTGATGTCATTAATAATCATTTAAAAAAATATTGACCAAAATGAACTCAGTGCCAGACACTCTGGACCCCCTTACAAATGGTTTAGTCCGAAACGCGTCGACCGCCCATAGACGCAGCGGGCAGCAAACAAGTAATAACGCAGTGAGTCTAGAGCCTTTAACGGGAGCCTGCTCTGATCGTGCTCTGCAAAAGCCCAAATCGGGCTTTCAAAAAAAGAAAGAGAGGAAAGAAAAAGATAGGAGGCAGAATGCGGGGAAGCAGCTGATGACTGCTTTCTTCCTAAAAGGTGAACTGAGTTTGCTTGTTATGCACCTAACGTTACATCCAATTAAAGTTAATGTAGTCAACTCCATTCAGCTGCTGCTAATGCAGGGTTCCAGTCTGCGACCAAATTGGTCTCATGTGCAACCATTTTTTGAGAATGTGATTGTGCGAGTTAAAATTGTATGTGGTCGCGTCGCATATAAAGAACATCGACCGTTGTATCAGCTGCTGCAGACTGCAGTCCGTAACTTATGTTCAAAACGAACGAGTAGGCTACATCATGAATCCATTTTCCAAACCGTGTTTTTGACTTATCCTGAATCACTACAGTACACCTGTTATAAGTGTTTATATTCGGACTATTTTTTTTATCCCGGATTCCCGGGGTTGACTCGGATGCGAAGTTGCCCAGTGACTGCATGACTCGCCATAGACACTAATGGAGAGAAGTAGCTCCGGCAACAGTGTTCTTCCGCAAGACACATAGACGTCACGCGCGCATTGCACACTGATGGTGGAACGCGCCAATTACGAATTCATGAATAAAAATATAAAAATGAAAATGTCTCAGGAAACAAATTATTACAAAATGCAGGAGGTAAGGAGTGTGATATTTCTGATTTTTGAACTAACTTATAAAATTTGATAACGAAAAATCTGTTTTAGCTTGTTGTAATACTAATCTTTTAAAATGTAATGCATACATTTGAATGTTTAATGATTTTTTAACGATAGAAATATGATGCTAATAGAAAAATGACAGACACAGAAGATGATTCAAATGTAAATAGATAGATTGAATGTAATTCAAATGTAAAATTCTTAAAATTACAGATTAAAATTACTGTCCAAAATCCATGAAAATCCTGAAATTTGGCAATGATAATTAATATATTACAGGTATTTATGCTAAGCCTTTGCTAGCTTTGGTCCATTAAAACCACTATTCATCGGCATGCATTGATTAATCCCATGGCATGTAGCAAAAAAAAAAAAAAAACGCGACAAAATCAAATGCTGGTGCGACCAACTCAGAAAGTTGGTATAGCATCAGTTTAACCATGGTTTCGGAGGGTACAGTTGTCTCTCGTGTTCTTGTGTTCTCCTATTGAAAAATAAATGTTTTTCTTTTAAAACTTGCATCAGTATGGCCAAATGCATCAATTCAGGTGGTGAATGAAAGAACCAGTCATTATACTATAATCTGATTTTATTATAGATTTAAATACTGTTTATACTTGTTTATATTCAAATAATTAAAAAAATACATTTCATTCAAAATTGAATTTTCATTTTGCTAACCCGCATCGTGCAATGCCATGTGTAGGGGGCCCACTGACAATTAGCCGCGTTTCCACTGCCGGGCTAGGGCTGGGCCAGAGCTAACAGCGAGCCGGGCCGAGCTAGTGGCCTCGGGCCTCAAGCACCGGGCTTGCCTTTCCACTGCCGGGCCAGTAGCCCCACAGCGCTGCCCCAGACCCCACCCCTAACACGCCTTTCAGGATCAAACGTCATAAAACCCAACCCATTTCAGCGGGTATTATGAATTAATTTATTTTTTAAATTAGGAAGATAGCATGTATATTAACTCAACTGCCGTAGTGGCTGCAATAGTGTCCCGAGACCAGTACAGGCGATTCTCCATTTCAAGCAGCGATTTTTTGCGCGATATAACAAGTAGGGCTGCGGGCACGTTTTCAAGTTATTCATTAATCGTTAACCGAGGCCCATCGGTTAATACTCGGTGCATAGTGTGCGCGCCGCAACCTCGAGATACAGACTTTTTAACACCTTTAATAACTGATTGGACCCCATTTGAAACGAAATTAATTTATAGAAATAAAACGCAGCAAGTACGGAGCAGTTAAAGCCGCATTTCCATCACCCTTCAAACTGAAATTGCCAATTGAAAATAAGCAAAACGTCCATTTCACAAAAACTCCGTGTCTGCAAATAATAATAATAATAATAACCATCATCATCATTATTGTAACATTTTATTAGGCTGCATATGTAGAAGACGCCTTTATCCAAAAAAGGAACAGAGCACAAATAAACACAATATTTTTGACAAATATCAGCGCATATCCAGTGTGTGTGGAGCACGCACTGATGGCTGCGAGACGCCCATGTGAACAGTTTCATTGCATTTCTTTCAGTGGAAACAACTTAAAATACTCTTTAATTTCTGGTCATACAGAAAATAATAATACATTATTCGCAAATAAATTTATTTATAACAAGAAAACGTTGTGCTTTAACAATTAATCAAGGCGCGCTTCATGATCTCCGTGAACTGAAGCGCGAGACCTGAAACAGCCACCGCATTCGAATTTGTTCGTTTTATATTGGACAGTTAAAGCTTTAGTCTACAGGGGTTATATCCTTTGTAGATTAAAGCTTTAAATGTCCAATTTAAAAAGAACAAATTCGAATCGAAAGCCAATATCTTCTATGTTTATGTAGCTTAATTTCTCTCTAAATGTGCATCCGGAGAGTTTTTAGCCGAAAATCATTTAGAAAACAATAGTTTATTAATAAACAATTAATGCCTCGTTATTTTATATTATTTTATTATCAGACACATTTATTATAGCCTATAAATCACCCATAAATCCCCTTTCTGTAGGCTGTGGTTACGGCTCTTCTTATTCAGCACTGCGGGGAAAATATCATTTCCAGGTTCTAATTTGGCCTCAGAAAACCAGTAAAATATATATATTTTTCATATTAATTTGTCAAATATTTTAAATGTTTAAGGGGCAAAAACAATCAAACAAATATCTGAAAATTCGTCGATAT